AAAAAAAATGGTTTATCTTATATTTCTGGTTTCTTTCGGAAACACATTTTTTAAGGAAGGCCACCAGGTGGATTTCATGCTCCTTCATGCCCAAGTCACTTGATTTGTAGAGTGTGTTGGTTCCTATTAAGGTATTCTGTGCTTGGCTGACACCCTGATGGTCATTGACTATTCATGTTGCTATCTCACCCAATCACAACAAACCAATCTCATGGAAAACTATGGAAAACTCTTCATCACCACAGACCAATCCTACAGAACCGCCGCGAAAACCATCACTCCCACCAGTCCCAGCCCCAAGCAGAATTTCTCCTTCCTCTTGGTGGGTCCTTCAGCCCACGCCTTGCGGGCAACAACGAGATATTTAAATATCACGGTCCTTGCAACACTTGAAGGGTGAGAGGTTCGTGCAATTCTGCTCGTCACCCCCACAAAATCTTCCATCATCGGGGTCGCAAACACCCCAGGATTGAATGTAACTTTTGCATCTGACTGCAAAAACTTGAACAGGTCAAAAGCAAAGTGAGCTGCAAAGTGCAGCTTTGGTGTGGCCATAAACAACGTCCATCCATGATTGAAGCTCCAGTTTGTCAGGGCTTTGTAGCAGCAAAGGAAAGTCATGATGTGTTCAAAGGCCAGTTGAGCCTCATCACGTGTAAACCACACTCGACTGCTGGAAGTGTAGCACAGCCGGTTGAAGGCATCAAAGGCAACTGCGGTTCGAAAGCAGAGGTCCAGGGGCTCAGTGCGTCTAAACGGTCTTTGAAGGTAGTCGACAAGCCATTGGACTAACAGCGTGCAGTCACTTGCCTTGCAAGTGAGATCAGGAAACTTGTTGTTGCTCTCCCAATGCAGATTCTCCTTTGTAAATTCCTTGACGTCCCTTGCTTGCTGCCCAACCGCACGGCAATAGGCCGAGAAGTCATCGTAGGCCGCCTCAAGGACACTATCTTTGTCACGGCGATGATGCCCTGATGACTTGAAGTGCCCTAGTGGCCCAGCAAGCATGCATATGGCAGAAGCTGCGAAGTTTCTGCCAACACCGTGTGGCAGGGTGTGCATGAGGTCAATCTTCATGAACTCATGTGCCATGGATCCTGGCACCTGCCAGAGGGGTGGTTGCCCTTGAAATGGAGGAGACTGGCCAACTGTCTGAGTCCACATTGCATTCATCGAGACATCTTCGAACGGTATCTCTGCACCAATGTTTGCAAGGCAAAGAGGACAAATGTATTTCCGTGTGTGGTGTCTCAAGCACTTCATGGACTTTACATGCCATGGATGGTCACCACAAAGAGCTATGCAGACCAAGTAGATCCGTTCAACACCACACACAGCATCCTTAGGCAATTCAACCCCCTGGAAGTACGCACGCATCAAACTCTTCCCAACAGCATCCAGCAATTTCTCAATCACAGGGTTTCCAGCTTCAATGCCTTTGTTGTACTGGCTGTAAAGCTTTGCTGGACAAGAGGTGATCAGGTACAATCTCTTGAGAGATGCCTGTCCAGCCCCAAGCACTGGCCCCCAGGAGATTTGAAGAACTGGCTTTCTTCGGTGGCCAACCCCCTCATCTCCATGCATGAGAATAGGAATTGTAAGGTGAAGCTCAGATGCGTGGTCTTCAAAAACTGGATGACTTGGCTGCACCGACCGAAAATTTTCCCAAAAATCCGTCATGGTGGAAGTCCACTCACGTACATTCTCTAAATTCTCACCAGCCAGCAAAAAGTTCGAGAACCTGGACGAGGTGAGAAGCCATCGAGCAAAGGCTGTCACATCCAGCATTGGATGGCTCTTCCAGGAACCACTCCCAGCTTCGTGTACCTGAGCAAGGAAAGATAAGGCAGGTGAGGTGGAAGGACTGCAATAACATGCAAATAACAACCATTGACAGTTGACACAATTTCAATTATATAAACAAACTTCACCTGGTCCTTTGAGAACAAAGACAGACGTATCAAATTCACAAAGACGGACGTCTCAAAAAATATCAAAAAGAGTGTTCCAATGAAAAGACCAGGAACCTTTTCAATCTGAGAAACTGGAATGTTTGGCATAAACCCTCTCTTCCCAAGCAGCCGCTGCATATCACGAAGCTTGTTGCCTGGTCGAGCACCATCGATGCGGCCAAAGTCCTGCAGCATCAATTTGTCCCTGGGACATTCCCGCCATGAAGCCAAAGATGCGCTCGATCTTGCCGATTTGCAAGCTTTTGTTGCAGAATTGGCCTGAGAAGTGTCATCAGACAATCTCACAGAGCATGCGTTCAATCAGCAACCTATCTAGAGGGACACCATATCCCAAAACAAGCAACTGCTGCATTAATCAAAACCTCCGGCCAGTGACAACATATGTGTCCAGCACGTCCTGCATGGATTCCAGAGGGTCCTCATCTGTACCTGTGTGGTCATGCGAACGACGAAATAAAGGCGGTATACACACAGTATTCCCTCTGCCGCTATGACCAACCAAGATGTGCACTTGAGACCTCCTTCGAGAAGGACGAATTTGTATTCAACCAATCATCTCCCAAAGTGTTTTCAGCCTCATCGCGTTTGAGTGTTTGGATTGTCACACTGCATCTGAGGCTACGCTACTCCAAGCGTAAACAACAGGCCAGATGCCAGATGTTCAACCTCAACCTTTCACGCTTCATGCCGCTTTGTATTCCATCTACTACATGGAACCCAGAAGAATGGAACCCAGAAGGCTAGAACCCACAAAACGGAATTTGATGAAATTTGATTGGCTTCCACTAAAGAATGACCTGCAAAGTCTGCTGAAATGCCTATCCCAAATGTCGCTACAAACAGAGGCATTGCAAAGGTCCTGGAACTGGCAGGCTGAACATCAAACACCTGTGACATTTGCAAACCCCTGCAGACACTTACCACGCAGCTTTGCACGTGGCAAGCCTGCATACCTAAACCCCGCCGGAAAGCACATGTGGAGTCACACGTGGTGATAAAAAGGTTACCCCGCTTCAGGGTAGAGGGTAGAATGCCCACTGGTCCCTTGACCTGAAGCTTCACCTAACTGAAAGTTTGAGGGCTTTACTGAAAGTTCACCATGTTCTGCAAAACACGTCGTCCCGGACCCAACTCACTTGCCTAAACTGTGCTCGTCGGGGACCTTTTGAACACACCATTTTCACATCAACAGGCTATAGTTCCAGAGTATACAACAAACGAGCTTTTATGTGGTACCCCCAAAAGCCCAAAAGTCCTCAAGGTACAAAGCCACAAAAATGCCAATCCAAAGGCAACAAAGCATCCCCACTTGTTGCAAGGACTGGGCTTTGTGCATTCTGCACCTATAGATATAAATATGAGGTGAAAAGACACCGGTTGGCCACCACTCACGCTCCAGCACAACACAGCACATTTACAACTGCAGGTGACACTGACCATCAAAAAATATACAATATACAATATATATATATACATATCAAATAATATCAAATCATTGAACAACTTTGCAGGAGACCACCCAAAGTGGTGATTCACTCAGGCGGAGATTTGTCAGACTTCTTCGCTTTGCTCTTCGCTGCAGACTTTGGGAAGTAGGTCCTGGGCCATCCAAATAATGATACAGAATGACAAAACGGATTCAATACCATAAGCATCATTGTTGGAGATTGATTGCATTGGAAAAACAAATCAAACTGAAGGAATTCCTGCATAAATGTATCGAAATGGCATGTTTGCTATTGAAACAACAGTCCATGCAATTCTGAAGAACATCCGGTGATCTGCCAAACAACGCGGCCAAGGCTCTTCACTTGCTTGTGAAAGGCCGTGAACATAATTGACCTTTGCTCCACAGGGCCGCTGGTTGCTGCTGTTACTTTACATCAAAATTGACAAAGCTATAGAAAACAGAAAACAAACTGAAGACGATGTTCGCATCACTGCAGTTCCCTTCATCCATAGACCCGACAATACCAATCACTGTGACATAAGGACCAGGCTCGCTCCTAATCTGTCCGCATACCGTAGAAAAGGCACCCTTCCTGAGCAAACAGCGCAGCACTGAAGCACATATCCTTCTGTTATTCTCATCTGAAGCAACATATGGTTTGTTGAGAGTGCAGGCTGTGTCCCCAAATCTATACATGCAACATTTGCTTAACATCAAACCTCGCACATATCCCTGAACAAACTCAAGTTACAAAATGTTACCAGGGGGTTTTCAACAATGAAGCACTTTGTTTGATCCCAACGTCCATCTTCCGGCTGCATCACATGGGGAAGGACAAATGGAGAAGGCATTGAAACACTTGGCACACATGCGCATGCGGCGTAACATACAGCATAAACTCTGAAGAAAAGAACTCGTGGAATCCATGATTGACCATCTACAACATGGTTCCACAGAGTCAAGTGACAGAGTATCAACATGTATCAACAAACAGGTGGGGGGCCTGCTATAGACTGCCTATACGATTGTTGAATAGATGGGTAGGATCGACGTGCATTTGTCTTTGTAGACAACCGGTGCAAATTCAAAACATGGCTTGCACAAGGCACGTCTTTCCAGTGGGACCGCTCTCGATTTGAGCCATCTCCGTCAGGAATGCGCTGAGCTTACCTGGTGTCGCGTTGCATTTGCGGCGGTTATGCATATATATATATAAATAATATATTCCATTTCCATATTCAAAAATACTAATGCCTTTGGGAATATCCATGCATTATTGCAGTATATATATATATCACTCATGTGTCTTAGCAACATATTATCTATATATAGATTCTAGCAATCTTAGTGTTGGGAAAATACGTACTTCTTACCAAATTGCCCGTGTTCGCGCCATCAGCTGTTTGCAAATCAGCATGCAAAACCACAACAAACTGAACAGATCTGAACAGGAGTGCCAACAAGAAACTAAGAAGCGGACTTTCAAGAGTGTTAAATTGTAGATAATCATAAAGAGAGAGCAGAGAGAGAGACACACAAAGCATGCAAAAATATGTCCTGCAGAAATAAGGCTTTTGTTAGGCTTGCCTTTTTGCTGAAAAGTTGCCCCCTGAATTCTCCAAGTTCTTCAAGTCTGTCCTTGGTCAAGTATTACAGTATTACCAAAACATCAAGATTGGGCTTCGGAGGTTCTAGGGTACGAGTGACATGCTCCACATTGCTCTGCCAACATCTCGCGATATCTCTTTAAAAAGGAAATGATATTGCAGCACTGCATATTTGCTTCCTTTATACATGCGCATTCTTTGTACTTCATTCTTTTCAGTCGAGAAGCTCAAAGCCAGCCGCTGCGCCCGGCTCGGACAGTCTCTCTTTGGAGTTCTTGAGCAAGGCTTTGCGCGACAAACATGCCTTTTTGTACTGCCCAAGATACTCTGGTAGCGACTCCTCACCCTCAACCTCAGGGTACTCCGGCAATTTCTGCTTTGGTTTGGCTTCCGGTACCCCCTTGTCATCTTCTTCTTCCTCGCCGAGAAGGTCTCCTAGTGTGAAGTCTGTGCTCCACAACCCCAACTCCTGCATCTCAGCCTGAAGCTCTTGGAGTTTCTCATCTCCCTGTTCCACATCATCTCTCACTTGCACCAAGTACTTGGTGACAGTCGGGTCATAGATGTCTTTCCTCCCAGGGTCAGCCATGAGCCAACAAACCCACGCTCTGCACATATACAGACACCAATGACAGCTGACCATAGCAAAAACAAATGCAATATCACTCAAAAAGACATCATGTTTTGCCCAGGACTTGAATGATGCCCAATGAATTTGTGCTTTTATCCCTTAAAAACCCGTCTTTGTCAGCTTCCTCTTTTCACAGTAGGCGATCGCTCCATCAATTTTGCTCCTTACAGTGCACGACAGGCTGAGAAGCTTTTGAACCTAGAACTGCATGCACCGCTGCACCACAACACCGCATCATGTTTATGATGAAGTAGATGCCAGGCATCTGAGGCCACTTGAGGTCATCCTTCATTTCCTGGGGTGTCTTCCAGGAAAAGCCTTGGAGGTTTTTTCTCCATTTGCGAGTGTGCTGCCGAAGCGTAATCAGTGCCACGAGCTTCGCCTGACCGAATCAGTATTATACTCAGGTTCTGAGATCAATCAACAACGCAACTACATGCAATATATTCAGCAACATTTATTATATTGAATGTCATGCAAGACTTCCAATTTGTGCGTTTAGTATAATGTCCCAATGGTTATTCCCAAAAATTGCCTTGTTGGTATTCGCGTCAGAGGTTGGTGAATAGCATCTGCACACCCAATCCTTGAGGAGCTTATCTCGAGCAGGTCCTCCTTTGCACAGAAAGGCACAATGGCGTTGCCATCACAGGCTTGTATGCCTTTCATAATTATGAACTCCATTTTTTTGTCATTTAATCCATCGACTGAATAGCAATAAAAAGTCCGGCAACTCAGCCACTACATATATATATATGATTTTTACTGTACATATATTTTGTTTAATATATACACATGATTTGGCAATGGGTTGTTCCATGGCCAGTCCTTGATGCCATGCATCGTAGATGTCTTTAGGGCACACAGGGTTTCCATCAACATCCACCTTGCGGACGACCCTGTACAATGCGCCCCAAGCCTCAGGATGGGTGCTGCTTGTAAAGCGTGTGTTGGGGTGGCACTTGTAAACCTCCACTTCACCACGACTTGCTGCATCCATCTTACCCTCCAGCACTGATCCCGTTGATGTAGTCCCTGGTGTGCTTGTTGGAGAAGCTGATGGCGTACGTGATGGAGTAGGTGTAGGAACATCAGCTGAGCCACTGTTCAGCAAGGGTCTCACTTGATCCACTTGATGAATCTTGGCTCTGAGACTCGCCTTTGGATCAGCAAAGGGTCCCGCATTCTGAGTCTGGCGTGCCTGCACCTCCTCCCGGCGCAGCTCATCGAACTTTGTGTCGATCTCTGCGAGAACTACGGCGCGTTGTGAATCCCAAGCGTCCATTTCTCCTTCAAACTTCGCTTGCCGTTTCTCAAGCTCATGCTCCGCTGCCTGAATTGCATGTTCCCTCTCAGCAAGGACTGTTTGCATCTTGGAGCTCTCCTGCAACTGGGCTTGAGCTTTTGCCAAATCCCTCTCGAATAGTGCGAATTTGGTTTGGATTTGCTCAAGCTTCGCAGTCCAAACCCCCACCTCATGCTCCACTTTTTGGCGTTTCTGGCATGTGCTTTCAAGCTCCAACTCCGCTTGTCGCTTCTTCTCATCAATCTCCTTTTGGACTGGTTCCCACATTTTGGCAACCATGGGCTGTATCTCCGGTGTCATTGTGGAGCCCAGCGCTGCAACCACCGGAGCATGCGGAGCAGGGACAGTCTCAGCATCAGGGTCAGCTTCGCCATTGTTCTGGTTCTCAGGGACAGGCGGAGCCACCGTAGCGGCAGGGAGGCCATGGCCAAGCACAGAACCCGCTTCACCATTGTTCTTGTTCTCCGGGACAGGCGAGGCCACCCCAGCGAGGCCATGGCCAAGCACAGAACCACCACAGCTGCCGCTGGAGTATCCTTCACGGCACTCGTTGGACTACAAGAAACAGTGATATGACATGTTGATTGATACATTTTGTGTCCCGTGTGATCGCCCAATAGCTTGTGACAAAGACATTAACAATTGGTTCCAAACAAAGAGCTTCACTGAAAAGTACAATGTGTCCTCGATTCAAGCGGTTCTTCTTCTGCAAGTACTCCCGTTTCAACTCCAAACTCTCAGGTGTATCAGGCAGAGCATGTAAGATCATTCGCGTCTCTGGGCTGTAGTCGCCAAAGTCATCATCCACCTCCTCCTTCTTCACCTGTCAGTTTACAATAGTGATTTGTATATGGTAAGTGGGAACATAATCGTTTATATCAGTTCGATTGCATTCACTGAAACTGTGAGTAATATGATAGTGCCGCACAAATGGCTCATACAGAACATACAATATGTAGTTGAATCTGTAATCATGGCATTGGTTGGTTTTCACGTATTGACTTGCTGACAGGATACCACACGTTTCCGTGGCGTTGATGGCTGAGGCTGCTGCTTCAGCGCATCAATGCCTGCTTTGAGGCTTTGCATGGATGCGGGACGGTCCATAGTAATAGCAAGGTCGCTGTCCAAAGCAACCCAAAGTTCTTGCAAGTTCTTGTCTTCACCCTTCCCAATTGAGCAAAATGCTGCAGCCTGTTGCAACTTCACTTCTCACTTATGCCAATTAAGGTTTCCGTCACTGACCTTCCCACACAACTGCAAGTCAATCGTCTATCTTCCAGCAACATGAAACAATAACTTCACACTTGCTAGTCCAATTCCATTAAACAGCAAATCATAATAAAAGGTTGTGGGCGCACCGCAAGCACCAGACGTCGACGGTAGCCCTGGCCAAAACGGAAGTAAAAAATGTATATGACATCATATAATGTATATATATAATGTGAAAGTTGAACACTTCAAGGCAGACTTGACTGTCCATGGAAGCAAACATGAAGCATAGGATATCCAACAAGGCCCTCAAATTTTCTTGCGCATTCTTGCGCATTCTTGCGCATTTTTCTGGTTTTCCGTTGCATATTTTTGGTTTTCCGTTGCATTCTTGCGCGGCCCTTTTTCCCCTTCCAAGTCCCCAAGTGCTTCTCATGGCTTAGTCCACGCCAAGCACAAAAGGAATTATCCACGTTTCAAATAACATGTGTGAATTAGGACCCAATCAAACGTCTTTGATCAGCTCTCGCTGCGACAACATACATAAAGTAGGGTGGGGGGAACCTCGGAGTTCCGTCCTTCCTTCGCATTCCTTCCCCACCCTTGTTGATGTTGCGCAATGAACCATTCGGCTCCATGCTAAAAACTGCGATCAAGCCAGCTTCCAACATTTCAATGGACGACAGGTTCATGCTAGTGTGCAAGCAGGTCATGCTGGTAAACCCAGATTCCTTGTAGGAAGGCCAGCGCCCACTGAGAGAGCTAGTGATACCCAGCTTGTACACGCAGAGCCGGAAGCCGCCCGTTTGTCTACGAATTTTGTGCACGGCACTGACACAATGGTCAAATACACGCCCAGAATGAGCACCATGACAAGGTAGATCAACCAAAATGCAATCTCCACTAAGATCATTTGTCCAATCAGAAGGGACTGCTTCACATGAATTGTGTTCTGGTTGAAGCTGCTCCTACGGACCAACAAAATGGGTTCATATAAAGAGGCGTTCAATTCTCGCACATGAACATGTCAAAAGCGCATAACATACCGGCTCCTGATGCCCATGGTGCTGGCCCCAGTGCTGCACCGACTCAACCCTGGATTTCTGGGTAGATAACCTTGTTGCACTGGTTTGAGTTTCCACCATGGATGAGGGCCCACAAAGCAACAAATCAAGCATGTTAACTCTGAAACACAAAACAAACCTTGACAGGTCATCTCGAACACCCTCAAGCCACGCGGCTTTGCGCGCTTCCCCTCTGGCTGCCGCTCCGCCACAGCTTGATCATCATTGATGTAGGGAATTTTGCGAAGCCCTCCAGTAGAATCTCTATAGGTGAAGAGGTCCCGTAACTCATCCAAAGCTTCTTTGTCTCCCATGGCCATCAAATGCCCGCAAGATGTGAATATTGCTGGAAAAAGTGTATATGTCTCTATACAAATATATATATATATATACACAACCACTCCTTCAAAACAGAATCAGAAACACAATGTAGAATACGATGTGAAATACAGCGTTGTGAATGATGATTTGACTATAGATCAACCCCTGGAGCCATCTGAAACGGTGTATGTTGTATCAACCCTCAAGCGTCAGCGTACTGGCGGGGAACACGCACCGACGAGGTGTTTAAATAGGCAATCACTTCTGGCATACGGGCATCCTGCCACGTGTCATTGTCATCACCCATATCAAGCGCTGCCAAAAGGGCCATTGGTGAACATGGCCCACCAGCCTGCGTGTGGAAATGCTATAGGTTGAACGCATGAACATGCAGGTTGCGCGACAAGTGTTTCTGTATTTCTTGAGAAACTGCCTGGGGGTTGCGCAGCGGCTTAACTCCGTCATGAATACGTGGCAGGATGGATGCAAATTTGCGCCCAAACTGCGTGGTATATTTCCTCAAAAAGGTCAATCGATCACGTGCCACCGAATGTGCATGTGTGTGTGTGTGTGTGTGCATGTTAGTTTTTTCCAAACATTAAGTAGCTGACTGGGATTCATGTAGGCGCGTCTTGTCTCCCTGAAAGCGCTTCTTTCCATGGTCATCTGTCCAAGTGCGTGCCAGTGGAATGGCGCTTTCCCTCAAGGCCTGCAAGGAGCAAGTATGCATCTACAGTACATGCATCTCTGAAAACTGAACCATTCATTTATGAGGACCTCTTTGGCAGACCCTGGCCTTACTCAACTTGCCAAGATTTAGCTCTTCCACGATGGATGAGTTGGACCAAAGAAATGTACGCTTCAATGACTTGCTGCCATAGTGACGCATCCATAGCGCTGTTCGGAACACCTCACTTGCGCGTACCCAACACAATTCAATAATGCATAGTGCACACATGCAGACACAGATACAGATACATGCATATATGTGCCACTGTTTACTATATAATCTCATACAATCACACACACATATATATATGTAAACATATTGTCATGCGTGTTATGGTTTGGTCCACAAGTTGTTCACAGAGGAGAGGCAAGGCTCAAAACCATTCAGCGGGGCCTTCAGTGTTTAGTTTGCAGGAAAAATGCTGAAGCACAGACAAAGATACAACAACACAATATTTGCAAAGGTAGCGCCACCGTGGAATATGCCTAAAGTATCCTCCAGATGGTTGCTCTAACACGAAGACATGCCCCAGGGCCGCCAGCAAATGACATAGAATGGTGGACCTTGAATGCCAAGTGCACCAGCAAACAGTTGAGAACACACATATCATATATATCCAACATGTATTTTAATCAACAGCTACAGCCTTCAGCAAATTATATATATATATAGAACATGTCTTCTGGCTGAGACTAAGGGCCTGAGAGCAAGTAGATTGCCCAACTCCACACTCATAACATCAGGACGCCCCAGAGGCAGAACAAAGCTTCTGCCAGTGCTCCCAGATGCCAAAACCCCCATCGAAGAACACACGGGAGCGAGTACTCCAACGCTTTGCGGTGCAAGCTTGAGAACAGTGAGGAGAGCCAACCTATAGAAGAGCAACGTTCCAAAAAGCCTTGAGGTTTCAAACAATTCATGAATCCCACTCAAAAGAAAAATGTTAGACTTCCAACTGCAACCATAGTAACGCCATGCCTGCCGTGGTAGTTAAATCCATTGCCTTTCCCCCAGGGTACGTAATGTCCAACCCCACTCCAAAATATTTTGCCTCGCGAAGAGATGCCGTCAGGCGCCCTTCACCCGCAAAGAACTCGGCAAAGTCATAGACCTTGGGCAACCAATTTAGTCTCAGAGGCAGAAGTGGGACAGGAGGAAGAAGACAAAGAGAACACTGAAGAAAGATGTGAACAATTGGTTTGCATCGCACATTTTCAGCAGTAATGGATACATGCCAACCATCAAAATGGCAACGTGGTAACATGTTACAATACACTTGGGAATAGATGCCCAACATAAACCCAAATGTGTTTCATCAACGGGATACTCACATCATTCAAGAGTGAAGTCCAAGCTACACGTGAAGTATCCAGGTTCTCATTCCACAAAAGCAGCAGCAGGGCCACCACCACTACCTGCATGCATGATTAAAGCATATGAAAGCGGTCTTACCAAAACAGACAGATGTGTAAACATGCAATTGCGCTTTGGACGCGAAGCTGAAAGTATACGGCTGCCTACTATTGTGTTTTGCTGAGTTGCATGAGGCATCCGTGCTTTGAACAATCGGCGGATCAAGTCGCCACCATCCCATCGCATCATAGGTTCCATGGCACTTGAAGGTCTTGGGAGGGTCCTACTGCCAACAGACTTGCCAACAGCTTTGGTCACACAGCAAACGACAAATGGCAACAAGCGAGTGAGCCAACAGATTGCACGGCCTGCTCTGAGTTCTTCCATGAAAGACACTTCATCAACTGTATGCGTCACAGGAATTGTTAACCAGTAATTTATTTGCAACTCTGGACTGCAAAACAGGGACTGGCTTCCAAGTTCGACTAGTTGGTAGACCAATTAGCTGAGCACAACCAGTTCAATCTCCAAACAGCTGAAGCTACTCTGGAGAATAAAACACATGCATAAAGGAGATGATATACCCACTCCATTTGCTGGCCTTGTCCCTGTTCATTTGCCAGCAGCTTCAGCAACTTCTTGTTGCTGCGGGGCATGGCTTGACCTGGGGCATGGCTATCGGGCCAAGAAAATGTTGCATATAGAGAACACAGCATTCATAGAAGACTTCGAATACATTTTCATCCCAAAGGTTTGTCCATGTCCGGCCAATGCAAAACCTTTTTTCAAACCAAACGAACTTCCACAGATCTAAAATTTTCTTTCACCCACTTCCAACTCGTGTCAAAGTCTTAAGCTCGACGGTAAGATCTACCCATCCATCCATGCATGTGCGGATTGGACACAGTGCGGAGGTCGCACTGCACACATCTTGAGAAATACCATCATTCAAGAAACACCTCCAAGGCTGCACGACTTCTCAATCCTAAGCAGCCCTGGCTCAAAACTTTGCGAAAGCACCTACGCCTATGTGGAGCAATAGGCTGTTCACTGTACAGTCCTCTTGATATCATTCACGGCCCTCGTGAATTCTTCACTCTTGGGATCCATATCTGGATTAGCCTCCATCAATCCAGCCTCAGATCCATAACAAAACACCCACCACACTTTAGAACAACTCATGGCAAACCTTGACTGGAACATTTGGAAAAGTGCACAGGCATAGAGTGCTTTTGCATGTGTGCAAACTGGTGGCCACAGAATTGCACCAAGAAATGTTCTTCATCATGCTGTCATCAGCCGCAAGAAAAACATGCTTACCGTCAATCTTCGAACGGACACCAGACTGGCATCGAGTCCAGTACGCTTCAACCCGCCACTTGGTGAATGAACGGATATGCCTGAGATTGGTAAGCCCAAATCTGCAGTTGCTGTGTTGTTTACATTTGACGGGTAAGAGCCAAAACGAAACAGTAAAAATGAACAGGACACACCAGTCCACATTCATGTGGTTTATCTATAGATATACTGATATACGTATGTATATAAATATATATATATATATATTTGTGACTCACCAACAAGAAACATATATGCTGGCTTCAAGCTAAGTGCTTCTTGAACTCATCTCGATGCTCGTGACGGATTGCTTTCGATGTTCCACGTGCCTGGTTGGTTGCAGGCTCTCGCTTTCGCTTTTGGACTGGTTCTGCTGGTGGCTTAGCCGGTTTGCGCGGGGCTGCCTTTCTCTTGGGGGCTTTGGCTTCGGTGGACTGGTCGGCAGTCACGGCCTTTGGTTGCCCGTTTGCTTTGGTCGTCTTTGATTTTGCACGGGCTGTTGTCTTTGATTTTGCACGGGCTGTTGCCTTTGCTTTGGCACGGGCTTTTGCCTTTGCTTTCGCACGGGCTTTTGCCTTTGCTTTTGCTCGCGGTTTTTGCTGTCTCTTGGATTTGGCTGGTGCTTCCGGATCTGCCTCTTCATCCTCCATGACTCCCTCCTCACCTCCATCTACCCGGGGCAAATCCTCTTCCATGTCATCGATGACACGTCTACCCCGACCTCGACCTTTGCCCCGCCCCCTTTGGGAGTCCCTCAATCCGCGCAGATCAGTTCGACGAAGAACAGTCTTTTCAGTTGGCAGATTCAAGTTCCCACCTACATCAATCCGAATCCGGGTAGGCTGCTGGTCAGACTTTGCTGCAGGGTTCAATTCCTCAGCGGGCTTCTGGGGGGG